GGCGGCGGCCGCACGAGTTGCGCGCGCACACGCTGAAGTGCCCGGATGGAGTTTTGTAACAAAGAGCGGCGGCGCGCGCAGAGCACGTGCTCGCTCCCGACAACGCTTTTTCCCAATCTAAAGTTTTACAGACCGTCCAGAATCACGTGTGTCTGTTTATTCCGATCGGTCGCGATGTTATTGTCGCTTTAAAGCACGATGGGAAAGTTTACTCTGTACGTGTAAAACGGGGCCGCGTGACCCGAACCGACACCAGAACCACGGACCGATGATGATGATGATGAAGATTATGCTGATGATGAGCCCAGAGTTCGGTCCAGACGGGTCTAGTTTGTGAAGCGCGGAGGGATCGCGGAAGCGCGTGGCTGTAGTCGGGCACGAGGACCATGTGCTGCTTTGTTTACAACAACACCAGCCGTCGAGTGGCGCGCGCGTCGGTTATATCGAGGACTCGCGTCGCGATGCGGCTGAACGACGCGGCAATAACACGATGGTTTGCTCGAGTCATTATGAGGCGTCGAGCATTAGAGCGCCGTTTCACTTCATTTACCTTCGTGTTCCGATCAGTTACTAGTAAATGTTTAAAGCTGAAATCATGTGCATTTCATCTGTACGAAGAGCGTGTCATGAGTTGTCACGTGTAGTAGTTTTGGACATTGAAGCTCTTCTGTTTTTGCTAGTTTGTTTACGAACACGAACCACGTGACTGATGTGTTTGTGCACTGCTGGTCGCGCGCTCATCTGAAACTTTTCCTGCACGTGCACAAACACTCACACGCACTGCTTTCCTCGTGTGTGTGTGTGTGTGTGTGTGTGTGTGTGTGTGTGTGATGGTGGTTTTCTGTGTCCAGAGAAGTGCAAGCGGTTCCTGCAGGAGTTCTACAGCGAGGATGAGTCCGGGAAGAAGCTCTTCAAATACGGCGCTCAGCTGGTGAGGTCCTACAGCTCCTGCAGCCCAGCTCCATCAGTGTGTGAGACGCGGCTCACCTGTGTGTGTGTGTGTGTGTGTGTGTGTGCAGGTGTCGCTGGCCCACCGAGAGCAGGTGGCGCTGCTGGTGGATCTGGACGACGTGGCGGAGGAAGACCCCGAGCTGGTGGAGAGTGTGTGTGAGAACGGCAAACGCTACGCAGGACTGTTTGCAGACGCGGTCCACGAGCTGCTGCCGGAGTACAGAGAGCGAGAGGTGTGTGTGTGTGCCAGTGCGTTCACTGATGATAGCAGAGAGCGAGAGGTGTGTGTGTGTGTGTGTGCCAGTGGGCGAGTGCAGTTCTTGCCCGACCGGACAATCAGCCGGATTAAAACGTCAATAACACAAAATAACTACGGATAACCCAAACGTGACAGTGATTCTGCATTCATTTAGTGCAAGTGGCGATTATCCGAGTAATAAAACACTGATGGTAACATGGTTGTGCTGTTGAGGCTCTTACAGCCTCATGAGGAGAAATGTAAACAAATGAGCTTAGCATATGCCTTAAACATTCAAAATGTGGATGTTTTATATTTATAACATGATAGTTAAGCATCATCACACGACCAGGAGTGCCGAATACCATCACCATTAAAAAAAGGGCACTGATTTAAGTAGTTAATAAGTCACTTACATTTTAGATTTAAGAAATATTAAATTAAAACGGTCTTTACAAAGCGAAGCACTAAATATAAAGGCAGTTAATAACAGCAGCAGTAAAATATAGTTTTTTAGTCACTGTACTCAGCGAATGCTTGTGCACTAATGCATCATTTTTCCTGTCTGTTTACTCAAGCCTGTTAGCTTGCAGCGCACCTCCACTCCGCTCTCTTTATACAGCATTGGTCTACTATTAAGTTTTAATTGTTTTACAAACGCGATCTACTGCGGCTCTGTTCACACGCTTGTTTTCAGTCTTTCTATATTTATTTTTACAAATTATCCTTATAATTCAATTAATTTTAAATAAAAATTAAATGAATTATATATTTTAGACATTTTTAGTTTATATCTTCACATGTCTGTAAATTTGTTTTAACAAAAATTGTGTTAAAACAATATGTTGGATATAAATCTAGTTTTTTTTTTTTACATTAATCATGGTTGTCAACTTGCCATCAGCAATTATCATTAAAAACAATGCAAATATTGATATTTGTAAAACTCAATGTGTGGCTTTTGCACTTTTTAAAGTACACTTTTACACATAAATATCCTAATTTAGGGTTTTAGGTAACACTTTATTTTACGGTGTCCTTGTTATGTTACATGTACTTACTATAGTAATAACAGTAAATTATGCATAATTACATGCAACTAACCCTCAACCTAATCCCACCTTATTCCTATAGTAAGTACATGTAGTTAATATAAATATTTATTAGGGATGCACGATATATCGACCACATATCGATATCGGCCGATAAATGATCTTTTTTGATGTTATCGGTCCGATATATCAAAGCCGATAGATAGATAATTTATACTCCAGGTGAGAGATGCGCGCGGTTCGCCATGATGGTTCTGAATGATTGGATTCACTTCGAAAAGGAACATACAGTTCAGTGCAACATGTGCAGCATAAATCTGCCACATAGGCTTCATAACATTATAATAAAAACATGCAAACGAATGTTGTGAATTGTTGTCCGCCAGTGTTTCAGCGCGACGAGCGCGTTGTGGCGGAGAGAGCGCGTCTGTGGAGTTTAGCCTTCGTGACGAGCACAGTCAAGTTCTCTTGAGCATTCGCAGCATTGTGAGTTGTAATATGTTTATTTTGTGTATATATATCTGATTAATCTAATATAGGATGCGTTTGGTTGAGTTAATGAACGATGCAGTAGCGCTTCATACCGGTGCAAACAGCAATGCACATTTATAACTATAATTGGGACTGTCATATCCATGCCATTATAATGAGAACACTATTGTAATAAAACGTTGTGAATTCTCTGTTTAGTTGCCGTTTCAGCGCGTTGTTGTGGGAATAGCGCGTCCAGAACAGGGATTAACCTACACATTATGACCAGCATTCACATCATTTTGTGCAGATAAGTCGTAATATTTGTTTCATGTAATATAAATATCTGATTAATCTCACATATGATGCATTTCGTGGATTTAAACGACCTGCTAGAAAAGCTCTTCAGTTTCCCGGTGCTCGTTCTCTTCAGCTTCAGCGCGCAGATTAAACAATAATGCAGAACATTAAAAGCTATGATTGGGACTGTCATACAATTATAATTATATTCACTATTGTAATATTTGTAAATTCTTTGGGTTTGCATTCTTCAGCAACCGTTGAGTTGATGAACCTTTAGCAATCACCCTTCTCTTCAGCTAGCGCGCGCAGCTCACACATGTCATGTGAAACAGTAACTAAGCTATCAAAGATGTTTACTATCACTGTAATATTAAAAATGTTTATTTTTTTTCAAAAACATTGCGTTATAATTAATAACTAACATTATTTTGTTCTCGTATTATTTTCATCAACGATATGGTTTGATTAAAATAGTTTTTTCTTATTGTCCGTGCGGAGGCGATTCCATTTTATTGATCCATGGATTATTGACATGCATTTTGTTTCTTTATATGCAGCCCAATGTTATCCAATGACTTGTTTGCATTATTTATGTATTTTATTTTTTGTTAGGCAATAGATTTTTTGATAACACTTTACAATAAGTTAATGCATTAACTAACAGAGAGCAATAGTCTTTGTTATTGTTAGTTATTAAAATATGTGCGTTCATGTTAGTTCACAGTGCATTGACTAATGTTAACAGATACAACTTTCTAAAAAATGATTTATAAAATTGTTGGGTCATTCTAACCCATGCTAACAAAATCAAACCTATCCACCTTATTCCTACGCCCCATGATGCTTTGCGCGAATTATGGGTGTAACTTCCGTTAAACTGTAATCAGTGAAAGGCTCGCTCTATGAACGCAATACGTTAAGTGTCACAATGAGATGACATAATCGACTCACCCTTTAACCATCGAACATTAAAATGAAATTTAAAAGTTTAAAAGAATCAACAAGGTACTTTCAACAAACCAAAAATAGCCCCAAAAGCGCGAGTCTTTGGTAAATATCACTGTAGTAGGCAAATATATTGTATAACAAGCCTTAATCAAAAATGTTCATTAACTTCAGCATTACGTGACACTATATCAAAGTGATTTCCGTCATTTTGACAGATTATAAATTGCATTTACCTGTGAAAACAAACCTGGAAAGAGACGTGAGGATTTGAGGAGAATAACGAGATTCTTCATGCATTCCAGTGAATCGTAAATTAAATTCGGGAGAACAGACCACAAATGTGCCGTATGTGTTGTCCTTTTTCATACTTTTACAGCGGATTGCAAAGGAAAAAAATAAAAATCATGAGGAAAAGAAAGCAGCGACTGAAAAGAGCTCTTGCCATAGATATTCTTGTTATAACATGTCACGTTAAAATGCCAAGTATAACGTTATTCTCATGATGTCTGAAAATAAATCATGAAGGGAAATTTCCAGCTCATCCAGTCAAACTGACGGATCAGCTTTATTTGTAGGGAAACCTTATGATTTGAAATGATTCGTTTCAGCCTTTTTGAATGGAAGTTCCCTAACCGGAAGTGCCACCCATAATTCAAAACGCAGTAAGGTCATCAGGAATAAGGTGGATACGCTAAATTATCCAAATTGACAGATTGTGTTAAAGATATAAAAGATTGGATGACGCGTAATTTTCTTTTATTAAATCCAGACAAGACAGAGGTAATACTTATCGGTTCTAAAAACCGTCCACAAAACCTTTCACAGCACGACTTTAACATATTAGGATGCCCTGTTACTTTATCCGCTACTGTAAAAGACCTGGGTGTTACATTAGACTGCAACCTGTCTTTTGAAAAGCATATTTCATATGTTACAAAAACAGCCTTTTTCCACCTTAGAAACATTGCTAAATTACGTAACATGCTATCAGTCTCTGATGCAGAAAAGTTAGTTCATGCATTCATGACCTCGAGACTAGATTACTGTAATGCTTTATTAGCTGGTTGTCCTGCATCCTCAATAAACAAGCTACAGTTAGTGCAAAATGCAGCCGCTAGAGTTCTTACTAGGTCAAGAAAATATGATCATATAACACCAATTCTATCATCCCTTCATTGGTTACCTATCAAGTTCCGTATTAATTACAAGGTCTTGCTTTTGACTTATAAAGCTCTAAATGGTTTAGCTCCAGTCTATTTAACGGATCTTCTATCGCCGTATAATCCATCGCGCTCTTTAAGATCACTGAATTCGAGGCTTCTGGTCATTCCTAGGATATCCAGATCCACCAAAGGAGGGAGAGCATTTTCACATTTAGCTCCGAAGCTCTGGAATAGCCTTCCTGATATTGTTCGTTGCTCAGACTCGCTCTCCCAGTTTAAAACTAGACTAAAGACGCATCTATTTAGCCAGGCATTCATATAAAATTTTTTATCCTACAGTTACTGTAAATTCGGCCTCTACTTCATAAACGCCAGAGGAGAACTGGCCCCGACTGAGCCTGGGTTCTCCCAAGGGTTTTTTTCTCCGTCGGGTCATCTGATGGAGTTTTAGGACACCCTCGGGTCATCTGATGGAGTTTTAGGACACCATCGGGTCATCTGATGGAGTTTTAGGACACCCTCGGGTCATCTGATGGAGTTTTAGGACACCATCGGGTCATCTGATGGAGTTTTAGGACACCCTCGGGTCATCTGATGGAGTTTTAGGACACCCTCGGGTCATCTGATGGAGTTTTAGGACACCCTCGGGTCATCTGATGGAGTTTTAGGACACCCTCGGGTCATCTGATGGAGTTTTAGGACACCCTCGGGTCATCTGATGGAGTTTTAGGACACCCTCGGGTCATCTGATGGAGTTTTAGGACACCATCGGGTCATCTGATGGAGTTTTAGGACACCCTCGGGTCATCTGATGGAGTTTTAGGACACCATCGGGTCATCTGATGGAGTTTTAGGACACCCTCGGGTCATCTGATGGAGTTTTAGGACACCATCGGGTCATCTGATGGAGTTTTAGGACACCCTCGGGTCATCTGATGGAGTTTTAGGACACCCTCGGGTCATCTGATGGAGTTTTAGGACACCCTCGGGTCATCTGATGGAGTTTTAGGACACCATCGGGTCATCTGATGGAGTTTTAGGACACCCTCGGGTCATCTGATGGAGTTTTAGGACACCCTCGGGTCATCTGATGGAGTTTTAGGACACCCTCGGGTCATCTGATGGAGTTTTAGGACACCCTCGGGTCATCTGATGGAGTTTTAGGACACCCTCGGGTCATCTGATGGAGTTTTAGGACACCCTCGGGTCATCTGATGGAGTTTTAGGACACCCTCGGGTCATCTGATGGAGTTTTAGGACACCCTCGGGTCATCTGATGGAGTTTTAGGACACCCTCGGGTCATCTGATGGAGTTTTAGGACACCCTCGGGTCATCTGATGGAGTTTTAGGACACCCTCGGGTCATCTGATGGAGTTTTAGGACACCATCGGGTCATCTGATGGAGTTTTAGGACACCATCGGGTCATCTGATGGAGTTTTAGGACACCCTCGGGTCATCTGATGGAGTTTTAGGACACCCTCGGGTCATCTGATGGAGTTTTAGGACACCCTCGGGTCATCTGATGGAGTTTTAGGACACCCTCGGGTCATCTGATGGAGTTTTAGGACACCCTCGGGTCATCTGATGGAGTTTTAGGACACCCTCGGGTCATCTGATGGAGTTTTAGGACACCCTCGGGTCATCTGATGGAGTTTTAGGACACCCTCGGGTCATCTGATGGAGTTTTAGGACACCCTCGGGTCATCTGATGGAGTTTTAGGACACCCTCGGGTCATCTGATGGAGTTTTAGGACACCATCGGGTCATCTGATGGAGTTTTAGGACACCCTCGGGTCATCTGATGGAGTTTTAGGACACCCTCGGGTCATCTGATGGAGTTTTAGGACACCATCGGGTCATCTGATGGAGTTTTTCGGCTCCTTGCCACTGTTGCCTTTGGCTTGCTCAGTTGGGGATATTCAAATTAAATGACCCATCATACCACTGATCAGCTCTACCAAACTTGGATGTCTTTTCCAGTAATAAACAAACACTGTTAAGTTGTTTTGATTGATACTGTGAAGCAGCTTTGATACAATCTGTATTGTGAAAAGCGCTATATAATAAAAAATTATAAAAAAATAAAAAAAACCTTATTATAAAGGACCACTTTTTAATAAAGAAAGTTGTCCATATGAGTGTAAAATTAATTTTAAAAGATAAGGAATCTTACACTGGTTCGGAGGAGGAGGAGGAGGAGGAGGAGGAGGAGGAGGAGGAGGAGGAGGAGGAGGAGGAGGAGGAGGAGGAGGAGGAGGAGGAGGAGGAGGAGGAGGAGGAGGAGGAGGAGGAGTCAGCTAGCTCTGAGAGCTTCATTCAAACAAGCAGAAACGTTTCCTAAGACAGCCAGCGAGCGATAGATATACCGACAG